AGATTATTTTGTTGTAAAAGTTTGTGATTGTTTTTCTGCATTGTTCTTCATGGATTTTATTCTCATTTATGTTTTAGGTTTACGGTGAAATGAATGATCAAGTGAGAAATGCAGTGTTATCTATGGAATGTCTTGCCAATAAGTCTAGAAGAATGGCCTTGTTATTATCGGAGTTGAAGCCTGCACATGTATCTTTACTATGTTTAAATCTGCTAATCTATGTTTAATACCTTTTTTTTCCCACTTTCTTGATGTTTCATGGAAACTTCTTCTATATTTGACTAGAGAGTTCTCACCCAAGTTCGAGATAAAGGAGTAATGATGAGTTAAGTAAGCTTGTGGCAGTTGAAACCTCATAGCTCCTCCCCCCGGCCCTCTTCTCCCATGGTCAAACATCTCATGTTAGTTATCAATCCTGTCCTTAATTTTACCTGTATTTCTTGTACATACTTTCTTAAAACTCATCAAATTACCTCTGCAAGGTGGCTCCATTTGCACCATAAAACTTTCTCTCTCAGTACCTTACATCAATAACTTGTGCATTCAAATTGTAAAAAAGATGTTATGAACAAAAACCACAAGCAAAATAATAACATAACAAAATAGAAAAATAGAACATAAATTTACATGGATCGGTTTAAAAGCCTATTCCACCGGCGAAATGCAGCAGCAAAGTATCACTATCAACAAAAGGAGATTGCACAAAATTCTCTAACCCAGAGAATAAAACCAAACATGGATGCCCAAAATTGGGGCCAAAAAACCAATAAGAAACTGAGTGGTCTATAATCTATTTATAGACCAAAAAAACTGTCTCCTAATATAATAGGGTTTCTAATTGGTCTTTTACTTGAAGTGGAATTCTAAGACAGCTACCTTTCTAAATCTCTAAAGAGAACAAAGTTCAAATCAGTTTTCTATTAGGACTGGAATACAAGACACCCACAACATAAGATAACTACAATTTCCATTCGGTGCTCGGAGCACCCTGAAAGGATTTTCTAATTCCTATGTAATCAGCGTTTTAGATTGATCGGCAAGGTGAGGGAGAACAGATTAATCAAGCCTTAGTAAAGAAGGTTTTGGATATAAATAGTGGAGGTCTTAGTAGAGATTACCCATTGAAGAAAAGAATGAGTCACCCATTTTTCTGCAGCATCAACATTCTATGGCTCCAAACATAACTCCTTGGAAAGACCCTCCCCCCAAAACAAATGGAAACGAAAAGGCAACACAAAGATATGCATCGCTATTATAAACTTGTGCTTTGTATTTTGTGAAATTTAGCTGACAGATCTTCTTCTGGAATATAGACCCCGTGTTAGATTGTTTTCATGTGGTTTGTAAACTCTAATATGCTAAATGGTGTTCTTTACCTTCCGACTTTCAACTGAATTTATTGGGATTACAAGAGTTAGATTAGCCTTCGGGTAGGGTAGACTACTTATATCCCAATCCACCACTTAGAGAAAGCCAGTTGGATGGGCATTTTATATATATATATATATATATATATAATTTTATTTAAAAAATTTCTAATTTTAATATTTTTATAAATCATATTTTTGAATTAAAAATAAAGTTAAAATAGACAAAAAATAAATAATAAATAATTTTATTTTTGAATAGGGGAGAGCCTAAAGAATTGAGCATTGAGTGCGCCTAAATTTTTTTTAGAGGCATACATTACCACCAAATTTTCAAAATTTTAATGATCAATTATTTTTCAAATAATTGAGTAAAAGGACAGACAAGCGGGCATTTAGACGGGATTTCGAGCAAGGTAATGACTTTAAAGGCAAACTCAAATCTTTTCTTAAAGAATATTGAACTCAAATTCAATCACACCAAATCTATCAAACTTCAAACTTATTTTTTTTGACTTAATTCGTGGGTTCGTAGGTCAACCCGACCTATGAACACTCCCAACTTTCAAGTTCAAAGTCCTTTGTAAAAGTCTTATCTGAGACATAAAATATATATTCATTCCTAAAAATATATATAAGAGCGAGGTAATTTTGGGATTGGAGAGAGAGAGAGAGAATAGTGTTGGGGTCGGTTTTGGGGGCCTAGTTTGGGATAGGTTTGGTTTTGTCGACTCCATAAAAGAGAAAAAGAATTGACTATAATTTCTAAAGCTAAAGGGGTTTGAAATATATTTTTATTAAAGCTCAAAGCTAGTTACTGCAATTTACTCTATTATATTCATTCATGAAAAAATATAAAATTGAAGCTTAGGTAAACTACACTTTCCCAATCAACTTAGCATTTTGTTGCAATTCAATCCCCCAGGTTGCAATTTTGACAAATTTCTCTCTAAAATTCCAAGTGGACTACATTGACTAAAATGTAGAATAAAAAGAGTTTTATACAGAAATATTTATATGTATATAAATATATTTCTCTCTATCTTGAGATTGAGTAGTGGCATTAATTTTTGTCGTAATGTGTGCATATACCATACATAAGATTTTACCTGTTTCTCTCTAACCCTAATGATGGGGCCTCTAGGGAAGAAGGGTTATAGGTGGAGCAATGAGCGATAATTAGTTTCAAATGGTTTTTGAGGATTCGATGGAGATTGATTTGATCTGCTTAGTGTGTTTGACCCGATCCAATTAATTGAATTTTGGCAAACTAATCAACCAAAAGAACACGATGATTTTGACATGCCCTTGCAGGTTTCTTGAGCATCTATAAGATTATAATTTGGTCCAAGCTTTGATCAAACCCTATAATCTGTCTACCCTAGTTGATAATGTATATCAACAAAGAGAATCATCATAAAGCTAGAGAACCCGTGTCTTAGGACGAGAAAATCTTTCTAGTTACTCGAATAATAAGTTTACTACTATTCACAAATGCATTTAACCTCAACTTGTTTAGGATTATCAATTAAATTTTCTCTATCCACATTGTTAGACCGCCTATCATTAAACTTTATTGATTTCTATATCCTAATTTTTATTCGTTACATCTCATTCGCTATTAAAAACTAATATATTTATTATTGTTTAATTGACGTTGTTGCAAAATTTTAAAACTTAAAATCAAAAGTGATTTGCATCCACACACACCCATCCTCGAGAAAATGAATTTTTTTTTTGTGTGTTTTCATTTGCAGTAAGGAAAACAAAGGGAAAGGGAAAAATCACATATGAACAAATTTTTAAGGAACTTTTGCTAAAAAAAACAAAAAACAAAAAATCGTATAAATCAAGGGCAATTTAGAAGTCGATACAATTTCTTAGACTTATTCAGACAAAAAGACAACTCAAAAACTTATTTTGGGTAAAGTGCATATTTTTTTAAAATACTGCTATTGCAATCGGTAAACAGTAAATATATGAAAATCCATTATCTTCCATCCGTTTTTTTGACTAAAATCAAGTGAGAGGTAAAATAGGGGTTTAATTATCAAAACTCATTTTTTTCAGTAGAGAAATTGGAATGTCAGAACTGTAACTGTTCATCGTCCAAAAAAAAGAGGAATTCGAGTTACTGTTCATCATTCAAAAAAAAAAGGAATACAAGTTACTATTCATCGTAAAAAAAAAAGGAACAATCCGAGTTACTGTTTATCGTCCAAAAAAAAAGAAAAATATGACTTACTGTTCATTGTGTCCTACAATCAAGTAATTGTGAATCATCTTCGGCAACTTCTTCATCAGAAATTGTAGGTGACATTCATTTTTGTTTTTTTGTCATTCATTAATTTTTTTTTTCACAATCTGTGTTGTTTGATTTTTTGATTAAAAATAATTACGTAACTGTTTTAAGTAACTATTTGTGATCACAGATTGCAAACTGTTAATATTGAAAAATTAATTGTTGAAACTATATTGACACATTTACACCCACTAAAAACACAGTTACATTCATTAAAACACAGTTACAATCATTAAAAATATAGTTACACCCATTAAAACACAGTTACACCCATTAAAACAAAATCAATTTTTTCCCCTTCATTCCAATATCGAGCAAACATAAAACAAAATCGAACATAAGAATTTTTCAATAAAAAATGACTGAATAAAAGAAGAAATATACTTATTATGTCTATACGAAAAAATAATTACACCCACTAAAATCAAAAGCAATTTTTTTTCCCTTCATTCCAACAACGAACAAACATAAAACAAAATCGAACATAGTCATTTCCAAAAAAAAAATAATTGAATAAAAGAAGAAATATACTTATTATGTCTATAAAAAATAATAGTTACACCCATTAAAAACAAATGTAACCTTTTTTCCCCCTTCATTCCAACAACGAACAAACATAAAACAAAATCGAACATAGAAATTTCTCAAAAAAAATGACAAAATAAAAGAAAAAATATAATTATTGACAACTAATCTTTAAGTCGATGATGGTGATTACTATTTATAGTTCTTTTTTTTTGAATAAATCTACCACTAGAGAAGTAAATCGCAGTTGAATAAAACTTATGTTGAAGAAAACTTATTAGTTGAACACATTGAAAAAGACTTATGTTGAAGAAGACTTATCAGTTGAACACATATGTTTGATTCAAAAAAATAAAGATGATAAATATGTAAATATTACATATTTGTTTTTTAAAATAACTGTTAATAGATGTATAAATCTCTCGCAAAACTACTCATTCAAAATTCAAAAATTTTAAAAATAACCAATATGTAATATTTACATATTCGTTTCCTAAAATAACTGTCAATCATGACTGCATAAAATAAGGACAGGTGTTTAAGTAAAAAATATTTTAATTCATTTGAATTTTTTTCCTAAACATAAAAAGTTTTATAAAAATTATACTTAATAGAATAATCCATTTACCCATACACTTTTGCTCAAATAAGTATTGAACATTGTACCCACACCTAAAAACCCATAAATCAAACGTCAAAAACAAAGAAACCAATAAGTATGGGGAAGAAGTAGAAATAAACAAAAAAATTAGGGGATATAACTACGAAAACAGAAAAAAGCATTAAAGAAAGCTGAAAAGAGAGGGATCACATCTCACCCAACCCTCCCCTTTGCCCATCAATGCTCTGTCGGAGCTCCGGAGCTCGTCTCCTCCTCCTCCTATTTTACCGGTCATAAGGTTACTCCCTCTCTCTCTCTTTACAGATACACACACATATGTGTATGTATTGTAATCTATGTGGCTGCGTGTATATATTGTTTGTTCGATTAGTTTTCATGTTATTCGTTCTTCTGTATTTCAGATAGAATTTCCGGATCGTTTGCTCATCAAATTCGTTGATTCAGGTTCTCATTGTTGTTGATATAACTCAGTGAAGGTGATTGATTACGATTTCTAAATAAATCTTTCTTTTCTTTTGCATATTTTATTATTGAAGCTTGAACGATGAAATTGGAACCTACAGTTAGGGTTTACGCTTATTTGGATTCGATTATACTGATTATGAGGGTTTTAGCTTATTTATGGCTATTATATGATTTTAGGGTTTTGTGTTTGGCATTACTGGAAGGAGTGCTTGTTGTGCGTGGTGAATTGAATTGATCGTCTGTCAAAATGACAATGAACGAGCGGAAGACGATCGACTTGGAACAAGGATGGGATTTTATGCAAAAAGGGATAACAAAACTGAAGAACATTCTCGAAGGACTCCCTGAACCACAGTTCAGCTCGGAGGACTATATGATGCTCTACACGTATCTTTTTGTATATTAATTTGTCAATTCCTTTATTGGTTTTTTAGGTAACAGTGATCTTGTTATGTGGTGGTGGTTTCCTTAATTGTATGTACAGAACTATCTATAATATGTGTACTCAAAAGCCTCCTCATGATTACTCTCAGCAGTTGTATGATAAATACAAGGAGTCTTTTGAAGAGTACATTACTTCGACGGTATGGGAACATTCTTCAATCGGCAATATTTATGTAGAATTCACTTTGTATATGAACTCGGTACATATGTCATTTTAACATGTTAGTGAAAAGCAGCATTGGTAGGATAACAGTGGTTATTGTAGTTTATATCTGTGTTGACATTTTTGTAGGATGAGTCAATGAACAGTTGATTTAATTTGCAATGTGCATGTACGATTTCAGTGTTCAGTCATTTATACCATGCAAGGCACTAGGTTTTTGTATGATTTCTTTCTTTTCTTTTTTTTTTTTTTTGTATGGTTTCTCATGCCAATCAATCTAGTCTTATTAATAACACGGTGAGTTTAGTCTGTCTCGCACGCCCTTCGTTAAGGGTATGCTTTTTTTTTTTTTTTGGGGGTGGGGGGGGGGGGGACTTACTTTTGGTTTATCTTTGTAGAGTTGGATGTAGTTTTCCCCTTTTACTTTCCCCCGTATGGGGGTGGGATGACTGAGTAACTTAAGTTTGTTAAAGTTGAAGAGCACATGAAGCAAGATGATTTTGATGCTATGAGAAATGATAATCTGTGATTTTGCTAACATTATGTCATGGCAGTGCTAGAAGGCGATCAAAGATTTCTATAGGCATACTAACTAGCTAGAGGGGGATTGTTTTCCTTTGCTTTGTATGTGTCAGTGGCATTTCAGAACCAAGCACTGACCCATATATTTGTTTTCAATGTTACGTGGAATGTCCCTTGCTAGATGTGCAGTTGTGCTTTCCTCCCCACCACCCCCACCCCCACCCCAACCCCCAAAACTCATCAAACCCTAAGGAAAAGTGATAGCTCCACATTGACTTCTGAAAATTGGAAGTTAATATCATTGGAAGGTGCTTCCCCTTATTTACAAATAATATTTAATTGCTTATTTTTCAGTGGCTGAACTAATGTCTAAGGTATGGACTTAATCATAGATCACATTCAGCTTTGCAGTTGTACATTTATGACAGAATTTATTCATTTATTATAAAAGGTCATTATCTGTTGTTTATTCAGCTAAAAGAGATTGTTCTTTGTTGTGCCCCCTATCCCCTAAATAAAACCAAAAAAAAAAAAAGAAAGGAAACCAAAAATCTTACAATCAACTTCCATATTGTGGCTTCTGTTACAGGTATTACCTTCTTTAAGAGAGAAGCATGATGAGTTCATGTTGAGGGAGCTTGTGAAACGGTGGTCGAACCATAAAGTTATGGTCAGGTGGCTTTCTCGGTTCTTCCATTATCTTGATCGCTACTTCATCGCTCGGAGGTCACTCCCTGCACTTAATGAAGTTGGACTCACTTGCTTCCGTGATCTGGTATTCCATGTTGCACCCTTCTGTTATTTTGCTTTCTTGTTTCCTATTTGTGTGTTGAAACTTTTGTTTATTTGCGCTGGAAAATTGTATATATGTCTGCGACTCATTTTTATTGCCTTGGTTTACTTTTTATAGTTCTATTTTTTTTTTTGTGTGCCTGCATTGAGATAGTGTTGGGAAATTTGCTCTTGATCTCAGGTCTATCAGGAGTTAAATGTGAAAGTAAGAGCTGCCATAATATCGTTGGTATGTTTTTGCCATTGCTTAAACTTTACGCCATTAAATCCATGTTTCACACTCACTTTTGCCTAGATCTTCAAACATTCGGTTTATTTTTGACACAGATTGATCAAGAGCGCGAGGGGGAGCAAATTGACCGAGCTTTATTGAAGAATGTTCTAGATATATTTGTTGAAATTGGAATGGGGCAAATGGATTGTTATGAAAACGACTTCGAAGCAGATATGCTCAAAGATACGGCTGCTTATTATTCTCGGAAGGCTTCAAACTGGATCTTAGAAGATTCATGTCCAGATTATATGTTGAAGGTAAACACTATACATTTTATTCTTTGTACATTTGAGTTTGTTTTCCATTCTAGACAGTTTATAAGCATCTTTTTGTTACTCCAGGCTGAGGAGTGTTTGAAACGTGAGAAAGACAGGGTTTCTCATTATCTTCATTCAAGTAGTGAGCCAAAGTTGCTTGAGGTTTGTTCGTGCTACATATATCTGCCTTTATAGTTGAACTTTTAAAAATTGATGATGGCATGGTAGCATATTAAGTATCCAAGCAATGTTTAGTAGCTTGATGATTTTGTTCATATGTCAAGGTCAATTTCGATCATATACGTATTGTTTGTTGCATTATCATCATTCACTTGGGGTTTTTTTGTTTTTGCAGAAAGTTCAACATGAGTTGTTGTCTGTATATGCAACCCAACTGCTTGAGAAGGAGCACTCTGGATGTCACGCGTTACTAAGAGATGACAAGGTAGATATTTGGATGATGTTTTGTTACTCAAGCCTTTTACTGGTACAGTTGACTGCAAGTTGTAACATTATATTAATGCTTTGTCCATTCTTGTAGGTGGAGGATTTGTCAAGGATGTATAGACTCTTTTCCAAAATACCGCGAGGCTTAGATCCTGTTTCTAATATATTTAAGCAGGTCTGTGTTCTCCAATTTGCTTAATAATGAGCAGTTGGCATAGCGTCTTTATGTGGCTCATGTTTGTGTTCTCCAACTTGGTTAATAATGAGCCGGTATAATAGCATATTGGCGTTGCTTTATTGTTATGTATTTGCTCTTCTTTATTTTAATATTTCTTTTTTGTGTTCCTTACTGCAGCATGTGACTGCTGAAGGTACAGCCTTGGTTAAACAAGCAGAAGATGCTGCAAGCAACAAGAAGGTTTATTTCTCTTTTTTTTTTATCAGACTCTATACTCTTGTGCTGACTATCTCCTAAGAATGTGAATCATCTAAAAAGCTGATGATGGACCTCTGGTTAATGTGGTCTGGGAAAGTTTATGGAAATCTATCAATCTATCTAAAAAAAATAACTAGTTATTCGTAAATTGCTGGAATCGTGTCATTCATTAGTCACTATAGTGATAGAGGTTTATTTCGGTGTTTTCATACCTTTGTGTTCGAAACATGCCTTAGCAGCTACAATTTTTTATTAATGGTTCTGAGGCTTAGAAAATTTCCCCCCCTCACAGGCAGAGAAGAAAGATGTGGTTGGTTTGCAGGAACAGGTAATTCAAATAATACCTTACTTCCAAAACTTGTATGTTAATTTCCTGATGTGGAACTAACTAAAGTCGTGGACCTTCAGATTTTTGTTAGAAAGGTCATTGAGTTACACGACAAGTACCTCGCCTACGTAAATGACTGTTTCCAGAACCATACTCTTTTCCACAAGGTTTGGACCGTAGCTGCTGCTTGATCGTATTAATCTTATCTAGTTACCGCATCATTAGAGTCTCTTTCTGTCCCTATCCCCCTTTAGGCACTCAAGGAAGCTTTTGAGGTCTTCTGCAACAAGGGTGTTGCTGGAAGCTCAAGTGCTGAACTACTTGCCACATTTTGTGATAATATTCTTAAAAAAGGCGGGAGTGAGAAATTGAGTGATGAAGCCATTGAAGAGACACTTGAGAAGGTATAAAGCTTAGTCGTTAGTATTTTTGTTAACTTGTTGGCCGCATGTAGAAAGTTGCAGTTTATTTTTTTGGTCAGATAGAAAGTTGCAATTCAATCTCTAATTAATTTGCAGGTTGTAAAACTGCTTGCTTATATCAGCGATAAAGACCTATTTGCGGAATTCTATAGGTATTCTATCTAAGTTACTAGGTGATTGGTCTATATTGAATCATTACTAAGTCCAGGGATTCCAACTGTTGGTAGGAAAAAGCTGGCTCGGCGGCTTTTGTTTGACAAGAGTGCGAATGATGAGCATGAGAGAAGTATCCTGACAAAACTGAAGCAGCAATGTGGTGGTCAGTTCACATCAAAGATGGAAGGGATGGTAAGTTGTCCTAGCTTTGACCTTGGTGAGGTGTAACGTAGTTTTAGGATATTTGGGATGCTGATGGAGACTCCCTTTTTGGGCTCAATAATCTTCCAGGTCACAGATTTGACATTGGCAAGGGAAAATCAAACCAACTTTGAGGATTATCTTGGGAATAATCCAAATGCAAATCCTGGAATCGACTTGACTGTTACTGTCTTGACCACTGGCTTTTGGCCCAGTTACAAGTCTTTTGATCTCAACCTTCCAGCTGAGATGGTACACTTACACTTTTCAGTTTTGAGGCATTTTAAGTTTAATGTAAGTTTGTGGAATCAAGTGTGTTTCTTGACATCTTTATTTATTCACTTCTCCGTTAGGTTAAATGTGTTGAAGTTTTCCGAGAATTCTATCAAACCAAAACGAAGCATAGAAAGCTTACATGGATATATTCACTGGGTACTTGTAACATCAATGGGAAATTTGAACCAAAAACTATGGAGCTGATTGTGACAACTTACCAGGTGATTATAGTTATAAAAATTTGTTTCAAAACTAAGCATGAATTTCATGATTGTTGTTACATAGGTTTGACCTCTACTGTTTTTTCTTTATAGGCTTCTGCTCTGCTGCTGTTCAATTCATCGGATAGATTGAGTTATCAGGAAATTATGAGTCAGTTAAACTTGTCAGATGATGATGTTGTTAGACTGCTTCATTCCCTTTCCTGTGCGAAGTATAAGATTATTAACAAAGAACCAAACACCAAAACAATCTTGCCAACCGATTACTTTGAGTTCAATTCCAAGTTCACCGACAAAATGAGGAGAATCAAGGTATTGAGATTTATTTCAGCATTGACCACAGCATCTCTTTTTGGAGTCCTGTCCTGTCAATCTATTAGAAGGTTGAAAAACTGCTTTGATGGAAATGCAGATTCCTCTCCCTCCGGTTGATGAGAAGAAAAAGGTAATTGAAGACGTTGATAAGGACAGAAGGTATGCCATTGATGCCTCCATTGTACGAATCATGAAGAGTAGGAAGGTTTTAGGCTACCAGCAGTTGGTTATGGAGTGTGTGGAGCAGTTGGGCCGCATGTTCAAGGTACTTTCATGCATGTTTTTTTCCCCATGTTGATCCTGTAAACCATATTGTTCCCCCAGTGCTAAGTGAAGAGTGTTTATGAAATGAAAATACACAGCCTGATGTTAAAGCAATTAAGAAGAGGATAGAAGATCTCATCACCCGGGATTATCTGGAAAGAGACAAGGATAACCCCAACTTGTTCAAGTACTTGGCATGATTTGGCCCAATTGATAGTCCAAGCGAATCAATGAATGGTTGCTGCTGCAAATAGCACGGAAAGGTGAGCATATCTGATTAAAATGGAAGCACAAACTGCTGTAAATGTTGCCGATATCTGAGTGCTCCTTTTGATGACGGCTTAGGCCCAATACCTTGAAAATTGTTGTACATTTTTCTTCAAAATCAGGTGAGGCCTATTACCACATATTCTATCCTCCTCTGAAAAATGTAATTTGTTCAGTTCTGCATTTCACTGTACCAATCAGACCATCCGGTTTCTTACCATCTTCTTTCTGTTGTTCTCTACAAGACTAGGTTGCCTTTTTGTGTTTACTGCAATCTTTTGTCAAAACGACTCTTGCTTTAAGATCTTATGAGCTAGTGTTATTAGATGGTGGATTGTGATCTTCTCTAGCATACGTTCCCTTTGTTTCCATTGATGGTAAATCATTTTACCATGAATTCAAGTAGAACCCACTTTATGAAACTGGGTTTCCTACTCATACAAGGCAGATGATCAACCATTAATAGAAAATGGATGGAAGGAGATCTGGATCTGTAGATCGTTGTGCTTATTCTAGGAATTTCCGGCAACATTTTCTGTTGCCCATGTAAGCAAATACATTTTCACTTTGTTCAACATGGAAAGACTTGTACCTACTTAGGTTGTCACGTATGAACATGATTGTTCTTTCAGCCTTACCCCTACTTTTCTTCCCAAGCACTTTCAGTGGAGGATGACAACCACAGCAAAGATACAGTCTACCATTCAATGAGATTTTGCAGTTTTCGGTCACTGTTGGAATTTACTACTTAGACAGGGAATCATCTCCCAATGATGAGAATATTTAAGTAGCGTTTGACTACGATACCCAAATTTGTTTTTTTTTGGTATTGTTTTGGGTATTTATATCACCTTTTGGGTGAAATTTACCAACTTATTATGGTGCATATACTTTTAGGGTTTACTTACCACATTTTTGTGAAATTTATCACTTTTTAAGGTGAAACAAATCGCTATACTTCCTTTTTTATTTGTCAAACGTGTGTCTAGAAAGTTTTTCCTACTGTAAGGCCAAGCATGGAGTTTAGTCAAAAAGTGGTTCCTACAGATGCTTTGGCTGACTAGTTAATTATGGAAAAAGTGGTTCCCGAGTTGCTGTATACCTACCTACACGAAAAAGATTTGGTTTTAGTACAAATTATATTGAAACATGTTAATATTTAGAGTTATTAACAGCTGATCACTTATCCCCAATATTTATTAAGAGAATTAAATTGGTCTTCATTAATGATATCGAATAATGATTTATTTTTTCTTTGCTCGGTCAAAACTAGACAGGAAGTGAGTTGATAATCGATGCAATTTATTTGGGTTTAGTTCGGATTCGAGTTTGAAAAGTTCGTTTAGAAAAAAATGAGATTAAAAGACTTGATTCGTTTTTATGTGAAATAGTCAAGTTATACGAGCATGACTAGTTTTGAGTGTGAGATTGAACAATTATTTAGTAAAACCAAGCTCGAAAAATTGAAACTCAATTTGAATTTGTAAAACTCGGGAGGGGTTAAATCGAGTTTTATGTCCAAATTTGGATGATTAGGATCTGGGCAAAAGGGACTGCTTCCGGGGTCGACTATTCTTTTCCCCTCCTCCCAACCCCCACGGCCAATCCTGTTCCCTTCTGTGTGCGCTTGCGTGTGTTTGAGAGAGAAGACGAAGAAAATGAGACCTTTGGATTCAGAGGTGGTGCCAGGGGCGGGGGGGAATGTGTAATTTCCCCATAGTTTTAACCCCTTTGAAGTGTAGTGGGCGTAGGTAATGGCATTTCCCAACAAGTGAAAAAGAAGGGTTGAAAAAAGAAGATTCACTGAATTCTCCTAAACTTGTGATTGGGTGAAGAATGATTAGTTCATGAAGCAAAAACGACGGCTCTCCTCACATTAATTCCCAACCCAGAAAGTAATACTACTCATTGCCCCCCACAAACTCTCATAGTTCTCTCATTACTTTCCCACTTTTTTGAAAAGTTTTCTCATACCACCAACTTGTCATTATTCAGTAAAGGGTCAATGGCATTTTACATTGGACAAGATTCCCAAATTCTTAATTTATACCTTCAAAAGTTAAAAATCATTCACAGCTTGGCTTCATGAGAATCTCTCTCAGCTGAGCTATGCAGGAGTAGCCTTTCCAGTTTCTCTTCCGGTCACAAAACAATATTCAAATCTTCCACAAAGCATTTGCAACCCAATAAAATTTGTCAAACTCGGTTCTTGGGACCCATTTGCTGAGATCACTTCCCAGGAGAAAGAAAAATAGTTTAGTGAAGTTCCCACAATTACTGGTAGTAATGGCAACTTGGAAGCAATAACTTGCGTGAGCGTTCGGTATATACTACTTAGTGGTTGTCAAAAGGTCAAGCTGAGGTATGGTTTTGTTTTGTTCCTCCAATATGCGTTCCAGCCAATGTGGGGGTCCATGCATGATCTAATGGTAAGGTATTGAATTGTGATTTTTTATGTTGAATCCAACTGTAAATCTTAGCTTTATCATCTTTTGGTAAAGAAGTTAGGCTTGACTTTGCAGCAAGGTAATTTCATTGCGATTAGGGCAACCAAGATTCGATTCATAGAAATAGTCTCTTTTCATACATGTTTAAGTAAAATTGTGTACATATAAGACCCTTTAGTGACAAAAATCTCGTGCCTGGATGCCCTTTTTAAGAAGACCAGAATCTCATCAGGCAGAAAAATATAGCATTGCAGGGTAGGACAATTGCAACAGTGAAAAGACAAGTATAGCAGGTCACTATAGAAGTCACAAAATTGTAGCATAGGAGAGGAATGCAAGAAGGTAAACAAGATAAGATAGATAATCAAAGGGTTAATACCATTTTGGTGTATAAAATCCAATGCTTCTTGAACTCTAAGTCTTCTAGATAGAGAATCATGAAAAGACATTGAAATCTAAGGAAAACCAGAGACCACTGAGAGCAAAAGAGTGATAGTGATCATTTTTAGAGTAGCCTGATAGGGGTTGTCATAGGCAGCAAATGAGTGGTAGGGGATTTGAGCTGTTTGTTTGTGTCCTTGCTGTTATTTGGCTGTCACATTTTGAACTATCAGACTGTTTATTGGCACTGATTTTTTTCTAAACCTGTATACTTTTCCTTATCAATGAAGGTCATTGCATTAGTTGATGTTTGTGTTTTGGCTTGGTTTAAGTTAGGGCAGAAATAAGATCATTTGCTGAGGCTTGAGTTGTGGCTATTGTGGTATCTGTTGGGTGTTTAACTAATATTGTTGAATGCATCATCAAACAAACTTAAGTTTTTGGAGTAATCAATAGTCCAACAAGATAGTAGAGCTTTGATTCCTCGAAGAGTTGGGTTCAAGTCTTTCAATATAGTTCCCCATCATGTGTTATGCACAAAGATGAACCCGGTTCTGATTTTATTTGTGCATATCTCTTCTTTGCATTTGGTTATGTGTCTGCTCCCTATACAAATTTGGATCTCTTTCCTTTGAGATATCAATACCACCTTCTTGTTCCCATGTGTTGGGGATTGCTGTGGGTCTTTCAAGGTCAAAATTTTCTGCTCAGAATTATGTCATCTTTCCTGGTGTTGAGGTGGAATTTTCTTCAGTTACTTCCCACTAGCTAATTGTATTAGCAATATCTCTCTTACTTTTCTAGGTCTCAGCCTGTGTGTGATTGAAAAGAAATTTTTTTATTGTAGCAGTGGGACTTAGATGGTAGGTCTCTGCCAACTGCTCTCTTAGTGCTTCTCTCACACCAATAATATGAACAAATTAGAACACATACACGGGCTCCTCTCTCCCTACACTGAGGAAAAAGCTCTCCCCTTGAACAGTGGAAAACCCATTATTTTGTCGATTCTCTATTAGGCTCTTATGAAAACAAGGGGTTCTGCTGCTACTGGGTCTCCCTCGTGATTGTATGCTTATTTTTTGTATCAAGAATCTAATACAGTGAACAGTAAAAGTGACTTCTGTTTGGTGCTTAGCTCAGCTGTTTTTTGAACAAAGCACTCACTCACACACACACACACACTTGTCAAGAAAAACTTGTAATCATAAGAACTCACAAACTTCCATTAATTAATAGACATATAAATTTGATTTGCCATATAAACAGTACAATCCATCAGTCACCCACTCCTAATTTTAATAGTATATAATCTCCCCAACTTGCATGTTGGTCCATTCTATTTACAAGTCCCAAAGGAGCTAAACTTAATCAGTGACAATAGGAATACCCAAGTTGTGGGACTATGTGGGGTCCCTCTAGGATGAGTTATTGGTTTGAATCTTGGCAAATTCCAGTGTTTTCTTGCCTTGCAGCTTGTTGTTCACATAGTGTTTGCCATATTCTCCATGGTTGTATCTTCTATACTTGCAAGGGTAGTGCTCATCTACCATTTCTGGCATTGGGCCAAGCTCTATTTCATAGCTTGGAGCATAGAATGTGACAATTGCGAGTCTGTCTTTTTCCTTGTGGGTCACTGCTCTATGTTCCGTACTCTTGTACCTCCCATTTGTGAGAACCTGTTTGATTAAATGTCGCAATACCTCATTAAACCTTTTACACTTACTAAGAGGAGAGACGAGAAATTGTTCAGGTTCCTTACTTCCATGGTGTCACCAATATTGATGACTAGAGCGTTCGGAATAGGCTGAACAGGCACCCATTTGTTGTTATGAAATATTTGAAGGCCAACTGAGCTACCTTTTCCTTGTTGCAACACTGTGAGAGCACTTCCATCTGAATGGGGGCTTAGACCCAGAACAAGGTCTGGTCTAGGACATGCTGGGTAGTAATTCATCCTCACGGCTTGCACGGCCACCCCAAACATCTCTTCAAAAACGTCCCTCTTCAGGCCAAGGCTTGTGGCTATGAATTTCAACAAATTCTTGCACAATTTCCTTATCTCTCTAGAGTATACCTCTACAGTTTCACTACAAGAAAATTAAAAGAGTAACATGCAGCCAAAAAAAAGAAGATAGTGAACTTAGTGATACATTTAGTACTACAATTACCTGAACTCAACTGGCTTTGTTGGCCACAGATTTGGGTTCCTTATGAAGTGTGGCTCTACTCCAAGAGCAAACATGTTGCACCAGTCTAACTTCTGGTCCTCCGAGAACACAAAAGCCTGGCCATAACCCTGGACAGTCCCCGGTGCCATCGGATACTTCTGTTTCTCCTCCAAAGGTAGCATGAAAAAGTCTATGGCAACCTTCTCTATGCTCTCAAGCAAACCCAGATCAATCCCATGATTTATCACCTAGCAATACCAAAGCAAGTCCATATTTGTTAAACCCCATAAGGTGACCACCACAATACAACAACTAACATTAAGAAATCACACACACACAAACACACAAATATATACCTGAAAAAATCCCCACTTCTCACAGGAAGTTGAGAGCTTCAATATTTCAATGTCGAATTCTTCTTTGTTTCCTTTTAGGAGTTTTGAGAAATCTATTATGGGAATGTTGCTAGATGAAGATGGAGTGATCTCTGTGTCTAGTGCTGGTCTTTCAGCAATGTCCCGGACGAATCTCTCAGGAATGGCTGCCAGTTTGGCCCTTCTCAACTCCTGGACATCGTCGATTTGGCCAACCTTTATAGGAGAAATTGGTACAGGAGCCATGGGAGCAGAATTTGGAGGTAAACACTAACTAACGATTCAGAAGTTTAACTAGCTGTTCATCAACTTTGAGCAATGCATTTATTTATAGAGGAATTGAGGACCTTGGTGTATTTTTAATGTGTGTGGGCCCAAATTAATACACTTTATAATTCAGTCATGCATGTAACCTTTAATTTAGACATGCTGATTATGTAATGCTTGCATATCTGTCTAATCAGTGAAAACCAATGCATTAATCATTGTCATTATTTTTTTTTTGGGGGAGGAGAGAGAGGGAGGATTTGAACCCTTGACCTCAAGAAGGCAAAACCTTCATAAGGTAAGGAATACCATTGAACTAAAGGTCCATTGGTATTAATCATTGTCATTAAATCAACCAAATGACCAGGAAATCACTTAAAACAGCAAGGGTTGTGCTGTTTTTTCTCTGCCTTGTACATGGTTAACCTTATAAATTCAACTTGGTATGCAATATGTTTCTTACTTGATTACATAAATCTTAAGAGCGTCATGGTGTATGTCACAGGTACCAAAAAAAAATTGGGACAAGCTACGACTCAATGGAGTCAAAGTTACGGTTCAATCATGTCAAAAAATCTAAGATCAAGTGTACACAAGCTTAGGATTGGTAAAAGGATAATAGGTTGTAAGTTGTAATTTGCGTATGTGAGTTGTAACTTGACCTTATAGTGTTCATAACTTTTAATACGATACCAAAGAGTTTGGCCTTGCAGAAATTCCCAGAAATTGAGTGTGAAAAAGAATCCAGAGATAGGAATCTAACAGTAGTACTTGATTGTCTGTTGTGGCAGAGTAAGTGGGCGATAGTAGGGGCCATTCTGAATTGCAAGTAGATGTCTCCAATTCTGCAGACCAATTCTAGTGATTATTGTCATCATCCCCTTGTCCTTCCTCACCTCCACTCCTTCAGTAAGAGCTCTTAAGCAGGCCCTAAGCTCTATAACACAGCATTTGGAAGTTGAACACCTGAGCAGAGTAACTGAACCACCCTTCAACTGATGGGAAACATTATTGTACCGAATTTTTACTTTTCAATACTATACTAAAAAAGTGAAAAAAATTTCCCAAAAAATAATAAATTCCACCCAAAAAGTGATAAAGTAAATCCGAAAAAATAAGTGCACCCCAAAAGTTAGTAAGCTAGATCAAAAAAATGACATAGATACTCTAAAAAATGATAAATGGTATGGTACCCATTGTTTTTGGTACCCTAGTCAAACCTTTAATTGATAATACCACAAGACTGGCCTAACCCTTTTGCCATCACCCCCATGGAATTTTTCAAAAAATACATCAGTAACTTCACTGACTTGAGTGGGGACTGCTTTTCCTCTATGAGAGCTTTCCACTTTTTTAGGTTTTTTTGGAGTTATTTGTGTGTGTAGTAGCTTTGGCTTTTTAATTACTTAAATGGTTGAAGAAGTGCGTATCCACAATACAGATGCGGTGATTAATTGGACCCTTGGTTAATTGTTGTCTATGGTCACAAGAAGGTAAGTGGTGCAACTCCTAAGCCCCATGGAAGGTTAGGCTCGAGCACTTTCCTCCCCTAGTATATTTGGATGTGTTGGGCTGAAATTTGTTGACATCTTCATCAAACATAGGTAGGTCTAAGTTGAGAGTCTCAAAGTGAGATGATCAAGTTGTGCTGAACCCACCTCCATTCTAAGGTCAATAGCAAGAGCAATCAATCTAATGCACAAAATTTTTATCACTGTAGAATCTAGAGGGAGGTGTACACAGTCACATTCAGGGCTAGACTAAGTGCATCTAACTATTGGGAGACTCTATAGTGATTGATATTTTGTGTTCTAAACAATCGTTTTTTGAATTGAATTAGAAGGGAAAAAAACAACTCTGGTATTTAAACTCTCAAAATTTGCATATCGTTTGGGAAATTGATCTATTAGCAAGATAAAAATTGATCCCAAATGTATTAGGATAAGGAGATTTTTTTTTTTTTTTTTTTGGGTAAAGGGGGAATCTCTAGTCTGTCTCCAACGAATAGAAGCGTTTTATTTTGCTCAGATTCGTGAGTTCGAGTAGAATCAATGACAAATTCTGGGTGCATGAAGTGGTATCTCAATTTATGCATCAATGAAATTAGGACTTGAATTTTGGTAGAAATTCGAACTCATACCAAAGACTTGGATACGATTTGTTTAAGTATTTAAGATTCGTTTTACCAACTAATCATACTTTTTATTACTTAAGAGACTTTAGAATCCTTAACTTTAGGATGACAAAATTTTTACAAAAAAACGGAAACTATTGGACCAGTAACCCTTGAGACAAGGAAACGTGGATTTAAAGCAAAGATGAAAAACCAAGACATTAGGAGATAGACTTTAACATGAGTTTGTCGGAGGACAATGCAAACCAACCAAAAAAAGTGGACCCCAGAGGACTCATTGGCCTCCAAATAGGGGTGTCAATTTTTAATCCTTAACACGAACCCGACTCGAACTCGAAAATAACATAATTAGTTCACATGAGTAATAAATTAGTCAAATTAAAGTTTAACACGATCAATAAGTACTGTAAATAAAAAATAATTATTATATTAGTTATTATCAAATTAAATAATTTTTTATTAACACGACTCCAATACGTATTAAAAATAATACGACACAAAAATAATACGAACGAAAATAACACGATACAAAAATAATACGACACAACACAATTAACACCTTTATCTCCAAAAGTCCCATGTGAACGCGTGTCCCGAGAAAATAAAAGGGAAATGGCCATTCAGACCGAAGGAATCTCTCTCTCTCTTTTCACACACACACGTGTTTCCATGAAGTCATTTTGCCATACAAGTTGCTTTCACTAGGCTAGCTGCTAGCACCACTTAAGCAGCAGCAGGAACACTGGGCCATGGCCACTCTTCCTCAGCTTTGGTTTTCCAAGCTACCTAATTTTTTTCACTTAAACGGTAAGAAATATTCAGATCAATTTACATATACTTGATTAATTCCCTCCTTATATGTGTGTAATATAAAACTTGTGCTTCTTCTTTTTTTTTTTTTTCCCTAGCTACATCTCAAAATAAAAAAAATCCACTTATAGCACAGGAGTAAACAACCATAAAATAGTGAAAAAGAAGCCCGAAAAAAGAACATTAGAATGGAGCTAATGTGACAGATGAAGCAGCATTAAACCGAAGTCATCGTTACTGTTCTCTCTCTCTCTCTAGAGAGAGAGAGCTTCATGAATTACCCACCAAAAAAATTACAAAAAACCAAAAAATACATGAAAGAAAAATGAAAACTCCAACCATTAGAAGCAATGAAAACAGAGTAAACGACTAAGACCAGCAAATTCACGATAGATTCTCCATGTCCTAGAAGCTATACCAACTGTAGAATGCTCGTGTTAACTTTAAAGAAAAATACACATTCAGAGATAGCTAGATAAACAGGAGAGAAGAAGCAGAGTGTTTGTTACGTGGCTGCATAGTTTGAATCTGAAAAAATGGGCTTCAAAGCCGCTGGTGTTTGTACACTTGAAAAGTTTTTTGTGGTGCTATAAGGAGAAGTAAAGAAGACAACTTTTACAATGATAAAATGAAAAAAGACTCTGTAATAAAGAACTGATGCAACCATGGTGTCTACACAAAAGATTCTGAGGAGCAATGAGGAATACAATCCACATTGTAAACTTTATGAATTTTTACTTGAAATTCGAAGAATAAAGAATGCTCCTGCTCTGATGATTCTAGGAAAATCCTTGAATAAGGTATTCACTGCATTCAATTGGTATATTCGTATATCCCTTGCCTGAGCAATGAATGTAGTTCACGATGGGGCCCCTACCACTAGTTGTCTATAGGGATTTGGGATTTGGGATTTGGTATTGAATCAATCCTTAACTTCGTTTGGTCACTTCACGGAAAAAAAAAAAATACAAAAAGATTTCAGGCTAACCAGAGGTTGACGCTGCCTGCTGCTTCCAGCCAATGCACTTATTTCCCGTACCTGAAAACAGAGCTCCTGAGTTAGTATTATAAACTAGAAGAATAACATCGATTCAAATGCAGAGAACAACACCACAAGAAAACAAACATATTTTACCTGCTTATATCTCTGAACCCCTGCTAAGATTCAAGTCAAACAAGACACGGGAACGTCATTGTGGAGTTTGTGACAGTTGTTATCACTTGGTATTTAGCAATTGTTTGAGTACTCAAAAGAATTGCTTCTAAGGGAGGCCAGGGAAGAGGTCAAAAAGGAGAAGAAAAAAATGACAAAAACCAAAAACCACAGACATAAAAAGACCTAGCCCAATAAGAAGTTCATTTGCATCAAATTGAAACTATGGTTGGAAAAGTTAACAGTAACACAGCAGCTTGATTCAAAAAGTGCAGCCTCTCAACACAAAAGGAGCGAACCCCCCCGTAGCCCCACCCATCAGATCCCATTCAATTCATGCTGGAATGATAGCAAGACCCAAGAAGATTGTATGTCCACGTATAATTACTGTCCCGTTCTCCATATTACAAGCAGAAATAAAATAGTAATACGTAGTCAATTATCAGAACAAAAAAAAAGTATGTTTATCCTTACAAAGTTATGGTGCTCTTCAATTTTCCAACCTTGGACAAGGAAATCCACCCAAATCCCAGGCATGATTCCGCGCAGAATACAGCAAAATTTCAAGTTCTTGCTATATCCAAGTCCTTTGAGCTAGCTTTTCCTACAATCTCTTATTAACAAGGGAGAGCCACTTGCTTCACCTGAACCTAGATCTCTCTAAAAACATCCAGCACAGACATCAAACACATATTTACCGTGGACTTGAGAACGAGTTAATACCTCTGAGATCAGGTGCTCTGTAAGATTACCTACCCATGCATAGCAACCTTCAATAGAAGACAGAAGGAAAAGGAGCCAAAACTTGAAGGTACAAATGCACAGGGAATTCCTCTTTAAAACATTTTTTTCTATTCCATGAAAAATCAACAATATGTAGGGTAACAAAACACTAAGTCATCCATAAGAATGGACTGGTCATGACAAAATTAGAACCCAAAAATTCAGGATATGTGACAACCGTTCTTAAATCTCTATAGTTACTGTCTCCCTCTAGCTAAGAATGTATGGAACCCAATAAATAAGAAGTGCACTCTTAACAAACTCGAGTCTTCTCCTTGAAAAAGCAGAAATTTTACATGTCCCACTCGCCACTACCCCATTAATGTAAGGGTGAACATCCTATGCTTTTATGACGTAGAAAACAAGCTGAATATTTTTATAAATAACAAAGATGGCAAATCAGTCCCATTTTGTACACATGTACAGAAAGGAAACGAGCCGGTAATGTCATGTCTCTTCATCAAATTACAACGGCTTGTCCAGTACAGCCATCCACAGGCCTGCTTGCATGGCCGCCCAAGTCCCTGTTCGCAGGGAAATAAACCAGTGAAACACATTATATACAAGGCTGACTTAATCTCTAATACCCCTGAAACCTTGGCGGCTGATGGCCTCAATTGCAAGCCGTACCAAGCGTACAAGTTCCTCTACATCTTGGAAGCTGAAGTCAATGACTCTCTTGACAGATATAATACCCTCCTTATTCTGAGCCTCTTCCAGGATTACATTAGCAGCTGCAAAAGCATGCTGGCATTTCCTGGAGGCCTCCATGGCAGAATTTACATCCTTGGTCTGTAAAACAATCATACGATGAAATACTTATCCTCTTATATCATACCACAGAGAAAATAACCATAACGGCAGGCAGGCACGTCAAATGCATGCGAGTTCCTTTCTGAGGCGACCAATTATGAACAAACTTAAATCTGCCAAAATTTTGGCTAGACACTAGGTTCTACCAGATGTCCAGAGCTTATTTATGAAAAACCTACTCTAGATTTGTGAGCAAATTATAATTCACTTTAAGTCTCTAAACATCACAAATCTGCCGAGTCACTACATATTACAAGATTGTTGACCTAATCGTTACTTCATACAAGTTTATGCCAAACTACAGGTCTAATTTGGTTTCCAAAAAAGTGTGTATATATGAAGTAGCTTTATGCAGAGAGTAAACCAACTTACAAAGTCAAGCAGCCGAACAAAGTTGGGACAATTTCGACGAACAACATGGTTTCCTGATTGAGAACCCAATCCTTTGGAAAAAGCAACCTTTTCCATCATTGCTTGGTTATTTAAACTATCAATATCAGATGCAGAGGATGACGGAGATTCCCCTGAGCAAAATATTAGAAAAAAAGTGTAGCATCAACAACAAAGCATCACCCAAAATGAAAAAAGTGCAAACACATGGTTATTGCAAATGTGTATGATGTACAAGCTGGTTAGAGGGAAGTTCATTTGGACAGGAAAGTAATAAATTGGAGAATAGCCAATATCCACGCCCACAATCCCCAGACAAACCAAATTATGTAGAAAGAGAGGGGAAGAAAGAGAGGAGGAGTGCATGTGCGCTTACTCATTGACTGACACCACCTATTTGTGTAATTCTAAAGAATCATAAAGTATATTTGACATTATTATCCCCATTCATTGGATAAGATGAGTATTACGTTAGCTCGAATTTACACCAATGAATCACGTCAGTCTAATTAAAAAACATATTTCAGTTATGCTCAGTGCACACCAGTAGAAGATATCATATTCTTTTTTGATTAGAAAAAGTTACCTCAAATGAGGCATCGGAAAAGCTTTTGACCATATGAAATCCATAATGTATTATGATCTTAGCAAACTCTAAGGTGGCCTAGATCCAACAGGAAAATACTGTTGAGGTTTTGAGCCAAGATGGATGAGATGGGGTAGAGGTGTTGATACTATATACTTGGGTCGTAACAGAAAAGACATTTGTCAGGTACTAGAACCACTGTACCACCAAACACATCACCATGTCCCCGATCCCTCTCCCAGGTGGTGGCCTATGGTTTCTCCTTCATATTTAGGAATTTTGAAAGAAAAAAAAAAAAGGCAAAGCAAAGAATGCCACAAGACAAATGAATGCACTTTATGTATGTCCAACGATACCATGACATTTCTCATACCTTGTGGAACCATTTGTAAACTTGCTTGCAAATCTTGCCGATCTCTATTAGTACTCGAATTTTTGCAATAAACTACCCTCATGTATGCAACCTCCATGCATTTATAGGCCAACGAAGCGGCAGCCATTTCTTGGCATTTTTCATATTCATGTGCACAGTTTCTGCAAGCAGAAATTAGTTCAGGATCAAACCAACAAAAGGGTTGTCACGCAGATATAACAGCTTCAACACTGCCATAAGATGACTCCCGACTAATTCTGAATTCATACTCAGCCAAACATGAAGACATAAAAGATCGTCCCAATTCCAGATAAAAAATAACTATGTAAAAGTCAAAATAAAATACTAACCAGGTACACATAAGAATACCTAATTCGTGAGTAAGTTAAAAGTATCCTTGGCATGTTGATGTGCTGTCTTAAGAATCAAATGTATTGAATGGCCAATAGCATGCCAATATATATCCCATGCCATCATTAATATCCATGACCATTTCAACTCCTCCATATGAATAACTAAAATCACCAAAATGCTAGTGTCAAGGCAACAACTTTATATCAATCCATTCTTTTAATATGCAAATATATTTAAATTAGGAATCGACCAGCGGAAAAAGCAATTACCCATCACTGATTCCCTGCTTATACAGGATGCTGGCCAACCATACATAAATAGGACATTTGTATATTTTCTCAAAGTGGCCGTCCCTCTACTTGAACCCTGTTCTCTTGCTAGGGACCCCAGCATTTTAGCATGCACCAAGCAGTGGCCCCCTTTGGATTATCATATGGACCATCATTAAAAGGCACTGCCATTATTGTCCCACTTCAATAGGGTGCTGAGGGGGCTAGACTTGATGTAAAGATCTAAGCTTCAGTCATTATTTAACAAAATGCCTGCTTAACTACTCAAGCCCATGTTCTCACACACAGGTTCGTTTTTTCGCTGGGGCTTACAATTCACCTTCTGGTTCATTCCTTCCATCTAAACCAACATATCCAAAAGGAATGTCCAACAGCAGCCAATTTGAAGGGGTATCAAATCAATAAAGCTCCACTCAAGTGATATTTTAGGAAAATATCAAATGGCAATTCATCTATCAATAAACCAATTGACTGAAACAAGAAGCGACCTTCCTAAGGCAGAAATACTACATACATAGGCCTTATTACATGAGCAAGTCATGAGAAACAGCATACTCCATAAAGCAACAAAAAGTAAACTTACTCGCACAGTTGGGCTGTATTACTATAGACTTGCATTTGAGTCATCTGTCCATGTTTGCTACTTTCACGATTGCAGGTTTCGAGAAGTGAAGCACAGTGAAGAAACTTTAAGGCAGCTTGGAAATATGCCTCATTACATTCAAAACCAAACCCAGAGATCTACCCACAAAAAAAAAAAATCAACAATTAGAATTAAGCCAAAGAGAAATGCAAGAAGGATAACCGAAGCTACAAAAATACAAACAAGTATCATAGAATCCTGCCAAAATATTTAAAACATTCAGAAAGCAAACCAGAATATCAAGCTTCAAAGAAGCCTAAGAAAAAATAGACTGAATAAAGAGCAGTCTCAAGAAACCTTAAGATGATCAGCATAATCTCTGAGATCTTCAGCTTCTTTCAATGCGTTAGAAGCTGGTTGGCTGGCGGCATCCCATTTCACATGACTAGGAGCACTCAAATCCCTGGCCAAATACTGATCAGAGACAGGATGTTGCATGCTCTGGTGAGCCCCATTCTGGGAAACAGCATTTCCAGGCTGTTTTAACACATTTGACACATCACCATCCACAGAAGGCTCAACAGGTCGTACATCCAGCAGACTTCCTTTCAGAGATCCAGGTACTGATTGGGGAACACGAACTAGTGTATGTTGTTTAACTGTGTAATGTGTGTTGACAAGTGACTTCCCCCTCCTTGACTCTACTTGAGTTGAATTGCCTTTCCTTGCAATTTCACCCTCAATATCCTGAGTCAAGTTCTGTTGTGCTGTAACTCTCCCATCTGTGCTACATGGCGCACCCAATTTGACATCTGAACTATCATGCTCTCCGAATTTTGACATGTTCTCACTTATATGGTCACTTACCCATTTTCCCGAAGTCTTCTTGCCAACACTCTTATCACCATTAATAGATTTAATAGTATGCTCACCAATAATATTATTTACGTCACCTAGTTCTTCATGGCACGTCGTGTGATAATGGGGTCCAATGTGTGTCTCATCCCTCAGGCTTTTCTTTTGACTTAAGTTTCCCTGCTCATTCAATGGTTTGGATACCTTTCCGGTTCCTCTTTCTCTATTGTGACCACCTGTGTACATGTCCTTTGACTGCAACAAGGAACCATTTATAGATATTTGCGGAGGTGATGCCGTAATAAGATGGTTCTTGTCCGCTCTAACCTCCCTGCTGAAATGGTATGATGCATGCATATTAGAGGGGCATGGGCCATGTCCTTCAAAGATATCAGCATCACTATTTCCCAAATGGTCATTCCCCACTTCACAAAGATGTTTAGAAATTGATTCAGATTGGACGCCAAATTTCTGCTTGGCATCAGTGTCCCGAAAATCATGCGTGGGAAACCCAGAAGATTCAGGATGAAAGACACCAGATGTTTTTCCTTTCATTGCTGTCCAAGATTGACTGATCTCAAAATTACCATCCCTATCCAGGTGTTTTCCAGGGCTTCCAACTAAAAGAAAATCATCATGTTTAGCATCATCCTTCCCTGAACTGTTGATTCTTGCTGGCGAAAGCTTGTCAGAATTGAAAGTCCTCATGGGAGACGAAGAAACAGATTCTACTGGTGATCCTTTCACCTCTTGGTAATTGGCTCTAGGTTTATGCGAGTCTGAAACCTTTGAAGAGCTAGAAGTGGCTGCCATGGACAACTGTTGAGGTCCCAAATCCCTTTTCAATGAGTCTAGATCATACAAGCTTGCTTGAGATGCAACCTTCACTGTATCTTTCATTGGCTGCTGATTGTTCTCAACATTCCTTTCAACTGATTTACCTCTCCCACCTGACAGGAGGATTCTGGCCATCCTCCCATTTTTGTTTGACCCATCATCACCTTTACTGGTACTAGAATTCTTTCCCTCAGTCCTAGACATCCTGGACTTCTTTTCTTTCCTGAATTCACTATCACCACTATCCTCCTTCACCGAAACCTTGCCATCTGGGGGGTGACTCCCATTATTTTGTAATATTATCAAATGATTCTGACTTTCCTGCCAATCCTTCAATTTTCGCTTCTTTCCATATACTTCTCTTCCATCACTTGTTCCCATATTGACATCATGGTCCCTATGTTTCTTTACAGAAATTAATAACCTGTTCTTTGGATCACAGTTTGCATCCTTAGAATAACTCTGTCCACTGTGTCTCCGCATATCCTTCCCAGCTGCCTTAGTTAGCAAATCAGTATTTGAGCTCGCACCCACCACTCGAAGTTCCCCAACATGTTCAGAAGTCCAGTGCTTGTCAGTATCAGTTGCAATCTTGATCTTCTTTGTAGTTCCGTATCCCATCTGATCGGACTCCCCCTTGCTTTTCTTCTTTTGCTTTGTATTACCTGCAGATAGTTTATAGGGTGAAAACAAATTACATGTTTCTGCCTAAAGAAGTACGACAGGCACAAAGAAATGTTAACTCTAAAATGAATTACTTGACTCATTCTACTTGATTTTTTGTCATTTTCAGATAGTTTTGCCAGAGTGAAGTATATGATTATAGTTTTGCCAGAGTGAAGTATATGACTTTCTCAGATGCTGACCATTAGATTTACTCATCAGATTTGTCTCGGAAAGAGGCTGTTGCGTGTCATTTAACCTTCTGCTTTTCCCCGCCTCCTGCCGGGAATTCTTTCCAAATTTCGGAGTCTGAATCAGACCACCATTGCTAGTGATGTCAGATGTTTCTTTGGATTTATACTTCTTCTTTCCTTGATCAAGCAAGGCATCAGAACTGAGATTCTGGCGATTCAGGTTAAAATGCCGGGCATCAGCTGAAGTTACTCCAGATGCAGTTCTATCAGCATTATTCTGAAAATTATTTTGACTTTTAGCAAGTGGAAGTTGGTATAACTCGTGGAGAGCTTTTGTTGTCTCCTCCTCACTGATATCACACTGATTCATTCCAGGCCTAAAAATTAAGAGAAAGTGAAAATCTCAGGCTTTAAAGAAATTATGTCTGTTTATGTACAAGTGTGGTGTATATATATCTATACAGTGAATTGTTAGAGCATCCAACCCAATAGCAATGGGTATAGTGGCCCCTCAACTCTTCAAGTATATAAACCAACTTTGGTGGTCCTAATTATTCGACGTGGAATACAAGCTCTCTTAACCCCATCCCTCTTGTGGGTCCCAGGCTCGCACATGGGGCCAACAAACAACTATGCGGGAAATTTCAAATGGGTAAGAGACTTGGGCAACTGACCACCTAAGGCCCAGCTCCGATACCATGTTAGGGCATCCATCCCAAAACCAATCGACAATGAGTAGAGCGGCCCTTCAAGTAAATAAACTAACCTTGGTGATCCTAATTATTTGATGTGGGATACAAGCTCTCTTAACATGAATGAGATATTTGCGTGGGCGTGGGCGTGGGCGTGGAATCAAAACAAACCTATCAGCCAAGTTTAGCCTAGAAGTCTAGCACCATTATTGTAACCATCAGTTATGTTAACTGTCAGGCTACTATGTAATCATAAATGCTATAGCAAGAAACTTACAGCCAGTTTAGCATGCTACACAACCACTTCTCAGGCAGTTGTTCTGGCTTCATACCATAGGGCAGAAGACGCCACTTCTGGCAATGGTCACAACACACCCAATCTTCTTCTATTACAACAGGGGCCACTGAAGCCATTTCTGTCTCAGAAGTGAATCCTTTAGTGGGAGGAGGACCAATGTTTGAAGCCACCTTCAAAAATGTTTCGGATGTCAACTGGACATCAACTTTTTTGCAGCTAGTTCTCTCCGTCAGTTTATCAACAAATGCATGATGTTCTCTATTAGTCTCAAGATTAGAATAGTTTGCACTATCACTGGTTTGCCTGTTCAGCGGATCAATCTGGTTATCTAAATTCTCTGATCTTGAGTTAAGCACTTCTTTGTAGCTGTCGTGGACCTTGTGAAAATCATTCTGACCACTCTTCATGTTTTTTGGTGCAGAACAAGAACCAACCCTCAAGGTTTCTCCTAAAGCTGAAGCCAGCTTGCTATTACTTTGACTTCCTCTGGACTTCCTTTTGCCTTCATATGACTTTTTCATAGCGTAAATTTTCATTTCATCCTGTCCATGGGATGTAGCTTTTGGACCAACCTTCCGTTTCACATCATCCATTGCCCCTTTAAACTCACTCTCACACTTACGAACATCAAATTCGGCTTCAAATGGGTCACGAGCGAATTCACTCGTGCCACCCTGCTTATGATCAACTGAAACAACCTTGCAGAAGCCTCTAACTGTGTGTTCCTCAATCTTTCCCACTAAAGAATTCCTAGTTTCTTGATGATGATACTTACCATCATCTTGGCCATTTATTGATTCCAACGACTCCTCAGCCAAGTCAGAGGATGGTAATCTGTCTTTCATCCAGTATTTATTGACCTCCCTTTTCTTCACTGGGACAACCTTCTCAGCCTCCCTGGAGACTTCAGCTGTTGCCCTAGCACCTTTCAAAGAGTCATCAATGTCACATATTGAATTGGACAGAGGGTTGAGTTTTAATTCTTTAGAGAAACACTGTTTGCTTTCAATGGTTTCACTTGCTGTCTTTTTCCTTGAAAGTGATACCATGTCATCAATAACATCCATATCATTCCCACTCTTCGATTCCTGAAATGTTTCACCCTTCCCCGTAGATTTCATTTTCTTCTTTTTCAACACTTTCCCATTCCCCAGCTTGCAAGCTGAATCATTTACAGAAATGGCGGAATTTTCCTGCCTACCCCTGAAAACAGGTGCCAGCTTACTGTCTAGTGAAGGTTTTTCAGTTTCTATCAAGCAAAGCAGAAAGTCATGGAGAGGCGAAAGCAGAGGGGTCCCAGGGACTGGTGAGGATGCCATAATCTGTTGCATCACATGAGAAAACAACTAGGTCACTATAGCAGCATACAGCAACAGAAGCATGGCATATTTTAACATCGAATGAAGCTCACCTGAAGAATACTGGTTGGAGATTCATTCAGAGCCTCTTGAACATCGAATGGCATCCCACCACTTCTCTCAGGGCTGTTTCCAATTGATGAAGATGGAGAAATAAACCCGAGAGCACTATATATTTCTTTTTTCTGTGCTGTGTTATCAGAACCCACTTTGATCCGAACCGTTAGTCCTTTCCGATTAGTTGGATTGGCCAACTTACTCAAAGAAAGTTCATGTCTCATGGGGAACCTTTCAGCAACTTGTGCAGATGACAAGAATGAATCTTGTCTGGCTGAAACCTCCCGAGATGAAACTTTTGGATTATTCAATGAAGGCATAACATGGGAAGCATTTCCTTGCCTCGGAGGCAGGGGTGCATCTGAGGGAGTCACAGAACCCCGGGAAGCACCCTGTATGGTAACACAACCCACAGTATTCCAGTAAACTAGAATTCCCAAGCTGACAAAAGATCGACAAACATTGCTCCTTTTATTGATTTATCGAAAAATAAGAAGGAAATTTTCCATATACCTCCATAGACAAAGTGTTAGAGGATCTTGGTATCCTCTGACTCTGAACTGTCGGAGGAGACTTTGGATGAGACCAAAGAGAAGGAGAGCGCTGATACATGGGTAAGAATGAGCCATACCCACCAAATTTTGCCCCTGCAAAAATAATCAAATTCCATGCAATCATTTTAATTGATGCAAGAAGACATTTATACTTCTTTTGTGATCCAAAAGCTCCCTTGTGAATTGCTTACCCAAGTTCTCTGCAGAAACCCCGCCCTCAAAATCTTTCTGCAAATGACCCAACACACTTTGAAGCTTCTCATCCTGGACAAATAGAAAACGAACGGTTACTACTTATCAGTGTAATTATACATGCAAAAGCATCATATCAACGAAATTGAACTGCTGCTAATGAATTAATGAGAACAGTGGTAGCAGGAAAAAAAAAAGGAATTGATGAGAATTGACTTGAAGAAAGAATTGCAACCATCATCTGTTCAATTAGTGTAAAGACAACTATGAGTTCACAAACACACTAAACATCCAAAGCCTACCCAGGAACAGTTTAAATTCGACGACTTTCAACTCAAACTTAAACTGCCAATTCTTCTATTCAGTTACTTAAAAACACCAGTTACAAAAACATTAAGTATTTCAGTCACATACTAAAGTCATCAAATTATTCTGTCCAAATTTTCAAAAAAAAAAAAAATTAAGAATTAGCTGGTTCATATATGCATAGTCTCAATGTGATATTATACAGAGTAAGAACACAAGAGAACTCTTACAATGTAAGAGAGAGCTATATCAGGGTCAATGCTTGTGTCGTCCTTGTAATGGCAAGCAACTCCTTCAAACTCAGGCTCTTCCATCTCTGCCCCAGGCAACCTTAACCCTAACATATTAAAATTCTCAAAATCCTAACCCCAATTCACCACCTATACTAAAGTCCAACATACCGCTCACAACACAAAAAGACAACTTCGACCCACGAAAGTACTCCCAAAACCCCAAAAACCCTAAGAAGGAATTGCTCTGAAACCCACTTGACCATACACAATTACATACCCTTCAATCAACCCACTTCATCATCTACATCTGCATATATGATATATCTTTGTATCACTCGAAATAATTGACTTAAATATCTCTTACAAGTTCTTTATTTTGATAATCGTAGTTGAAAATGGTAGAATCACTATATTCTCTGACGCACCGATCGAATCGATTCTGAATGTAATGTTTTGGTCAGTATAGAGAAAGAACTGCGTTTTCTTCTCTATTCTATTCTTTTCTTCATACTATTTTTTTTTTTTTTGTCTTGCCCTTTTAAATATTTGGACCAACTAAATTAATTTAAAGAATCAAAAATACTTTTTTGTATTTTATTCATTCAATATAAATTCGACGTTGAATAGTTGAAATCATTAAATACTTGTGGATGATATCAAGATCAAAATCTATATAGAAAATAAGTCTATAGGACTTTGATGGAATCAACTAACCTGGAGATTAGATTGATTGACCCAATATATAAGGACCCAGGTCAGTTAGTCCTTTAACTAGCTCGGCTAATACTTGAATCAGTTCCGACATTATCAAATGAGCTCGATTTATCTGAAACTGCTCATTTTAGTGTGAACGATTTGATAAAAATAAAATTATACAATCAAATATTACTTAGAGGATGAAGGATTTATCTTTAGAATGTCACGTCCTCAACTTTTAAAATATCATGTTACACTTAAAGATATAATCTCTAATAATTAAATATTATATCTGAAATCCTAACAAACTATGAAACCACCTTATCATTACTTGACGATCACACTACTCTAGTATACAAATAAACAAACTCTTATCTTGTCCAAAGAATGCACAATTGTATCTTTATAAAACTATAACTATCTTCTTCCTTGTTATTGGACCGTTTCTCTTACTTTGCACATAATACCCTCGTTTCAAAATAGTAGAACTTGAAAAAAATGAAAACAATGGAGCTTGAAGTCCAATGTTAATTGGAATTCACTTTTTCAATTCAATATTTGTAATTAAAAGGGTCTTTCTCTGGGACATGAAAGATGTCACCATTGTGGAAATGACTTACCGCAGGAAGGAATCTATTAAAGATTAGAGACATGATTTTATTAACTACTTAGAAGTATGATACGTGGCCATAAGAAAGCCACAAAAAAAATCTAGGACGTGTTTGGTTATGTTGTGGAAAATAGTTTTTTGTTTTTAAAATTTCAAAAACACTAAAAATATGTTTACTTAGCATTTTTGTTTTCAAATTATTGAAAAAAAAAATGAGATTTGGAGCAAAGAAACAAAAAATAAGTGTAACTTGTTTTCGAATTTTTCTTTGAAAATGTTGGAAACATGGAGAACAGTTTTGGGATTTTAATGAGATCTGTCTTTCGAGTCTCCTTAACAATTCTCTCCTTCTCCTACATATTCTTCTCCAGCTTCTCCCTCCCCTCCCCCCTCTCTCTCTCTCTGTGCAACGAAGGTGAAGTACCGAAGCACATATCTAAAGCAATGAAGATGGAGCCCTTCACTTAAATCTGAAGCACAGATTTGTATAGATCGTTGTATAACGAAGATGGATCCCTTTCTCTCTCTATCGCAACAATTAAAGTTCAGATCTACATAGATCTGAAGCACAGATCTGTGTAGATTTGAATATGGGTCTGGATCTGTGTGTGTGTGTATGTGTGTGTGTGTGCGGATTTTGTAAAGACAGGAAGAGGGGAAAAGAAAGATAGAGATAGTGTGAATTTTGTGAATTATTATTCAAACAGATTTTATAATTTTTTATTTTTTAAAAATATTTTAAAAAATATATAACTAAACAAGTTTTGTAATCTAAAAATTTTTAAAAACACTTTTTTAAAATTCTTCTCAAAAATTATTTTCGAATACTATTTTTTGAGATGTAAACTAAACATGCTCCAAGTAATTTGAGACAAAACCCGTATTTTGGTTAACCAGATGTAAAGCTTTGAACTTTCGGAGGAGCCCCAACTCCAATAAAAATTTCCTATTCCATTCTTTATCAATAGTGGTATACAAAATGGTTTGGTTTATGCCCAAACAAAAATTGTTATACAAGTGCTTTTTTTTTTACTATTCATACCTACCCTCTCTTTCATAACATATTGACTCTCTCCATCTCCAATCCTAATTAAAACCAAGTGTTTCTTTGTGCTTTAGAGGGAGTTAGCTCTTTGGCTCGGACGGAACACTTCCATAGTTTTTGATACTACATTTGTTTTGAAGTTGATAGAGGATAAGTTCTCTTGTTATCAGTTCAATTCACTCAAAATCGATGGTCGATGCTCTACTTAATCGGTATGGGCACAGGCTCAACGCAAAAGTGTATTATAAGTATAGGATCGCAATCTAAGTTAAGGTATGGACACCACACTCTACCATATTAAAAAAAATATATATATAATACTAAAAAATAATTTTTTGATATTAAGGTGTGGCTATGTATTTTGTGTTCTTTTTAAATTTTTTAAGAGCCAAGATATTTGTTGCCACCAATTTTATTTCAAGTAAATTATCATGCGTGTAAATTCAAAAAGATTGTTCTTAGAATTTTGCTTTTCATTGTAAATACACTAGGGATAACTTGTGTTTTTAAGTATAGTATAATGTGAATAGTTTTTAGAGAGATATCGATGATCGTTAGATGAGTCTATTTAAGCTTATCAGATAGACTTATTGAAGTTGTCTGTTTTTATATTAGAGTTAATTTCAACTAATACCCTGAAAAATCAGTCGAATCTCAATTTATACTATATCAATATGTATCAATGTGCACTTAGGATTAACTGTCGTCTATTTTACTGTTAAAAAAGTTTAAGTTAATTATAAATTACACCCTCAAAGTTTAAATATTTCACATTTATAATTTAAAAATAAAATTCATCAATTAATACTTATTAAATAACTCTCAACTATATCGTATTATAATATTCTCGTGTCGTGTTCAAGTTGATAAAAAAATATTTTTGTATTAAGTTAATTACATTGTATCATATATTTTACATTTACAATAATTCATATATTTATTTTTAGCATATAATACTCGTTATATAACTCTTTTATGTCTACAATTGTATTATTCGTATTTAATTTTAATTTGATCACACCAACAAAAAATTTGTATCTAACAGGATACAGAAAAGCTATTTAACAAGCATTAATAAATAGATTTGAATCATAAATATGAAATATTTAAATTTTGACAAGTACAATTTATAATTAGTTTGAAATTTATGGCAAAATATACGGAGTTACCCTAAGTGTACATTTATATGAATTTATATCTTTTAAGGTATAAATTAATATTTTTAAACTTTGAAAGTATAAATTAAAATTTAAATGATGTTTGAGATTAACCCTTTATATTAAAGAGATTATGGATGACACGTACAGACGGTCGGTTACTTATACAGTAGATTATCGACGTACGGGTCGTCGGGGTGGAAAAACAGGAGAGATCGAGAGAGAGAGAACAATGGAGGGAGAGGGACTAACAGAAGAGGAACGAAGGGCACTCCGTGGAAGCAAATTTGCACCGCTTCCATCTTCTGCCCCTTCTTTCCGATCTCAGCCCAGGTTCGTATTGTATATACACACATATATCAATATCTCTCTCCCTCTCTCTCTCTTTCTATATATATATATATATATATATATATATATATATCTATAGGGTTTATTATTTTGGACAAAGGTTTTTTGTTGCTCTGACGAAGTAACGGTATCGCTAGGGCAATGTATATACATGTGTGTGTGTACATCTAGGGTTATTATTTTGGTGAAGTTTTTTTGTTGCCCTGATAAAGTAATAGTATTTCTGTAGCGGTTTTGTTAAGTATTTGGGTACGTAGCGTAGGCTAGCACACCCAGGCGGACCATTGAAGACTAACAAGGCCGCTGCTTTGGCGAAATTCCTCGAAAGAAAACTTCAAGATCCTAATGGATTAGCTTCAATAAACCCCCAGCTCGTCGAATTGGCCGTCAAAAACGCCAAACACACAGTCCATTCAAGTAAATATTCACTTTTACCTTCGCTTATTGTCGTTTCTACTTTTAATTTCACTTTATTTTTTCTCTCTTGCATGTATGCCCTATTCCCATCATAAATGTCAATGTTTTTAGTTCAATTTTGTAATTTTTAAAATTTTGTGATGGACTGTGTTCAATTGCCAATCATTGGAAAGAAACTATGTGTTTGGGAGCATTGATCAATTGGAATTCAAGAAACTGTAACTTAGTTTAAGCCTTTAAGATGGGTTCTCGCCAATTTTTATTTTGAAGCCTGGATACCATGGGGCCGATTGCAGTGTCTTACTATTCTTTTACCAGTCGCAATTTACTTGTAGTTAGGGTATAGCTGATAGGTGAAAAGTAGATGTGAGTTGAGGTGATTTGATTGTGGGAATTGTGGAGTAAGGCTGTAAGTCCTGAGACATGGGGGATGGGGTTTGTTTGATACAGTCCGAGGATGGAATGGTTAATTAATTCCAGCCATAACTCTTGAATATAGCGTTGTTGGATAAAAATTTCATCGGTTTAAGTATTTTTCTTTTACATCACAAGAAGGGAATCCCGATATGGCTTTTGGTTACCAGGGCAAGGGAACTTAATATTCTAGTTTCTTCACTTTGGTTGCCACAAAGAGCGTGTTCCAAGTGCATGTCTTCTGCTTGCTTTATTGAGTTCAAAATGCATCATGTTTCACCAAAATATTGTTAGCACTAGTGGGTGAATATTCAGTTTTGCTAAAGAGGCCAACTTTTTGAAGCCAGACAGACTTCTATTGTTATCATTTTTAACGCTGGAGTCTTTGAACTCACTGTTCAGGTGGGATTTCAAATTCAGGAAGAACGGTTCAGCATGTGAATTCATTTGGCGACTCTGAGGTGCTTTATTTTTGCATTACATCAATTAGTTCCTAAACAACTTAAACTTTCTTTTTGATTTTGAATGTTTTTGTCTGCTATGCATATTTTTGTGAACTTCAGTATTCTTTTGAAGAAGAGAAAGTAAAGAATTCCGAGTCAAAGAAACAAAAGAAGAGAATGAAGAAGGATAAGAAGAAGAAGAAGAAAAAGAAACAGAAGGTGCTTTGACATTTGATGGTTACAGTTCTTGCCTCTTTATCTTATTCTCTGATTTTTGCTCAGTCTGAAGTTTTTTCTGTGACAGATGTCGGAGGATTGTTAACACAACGCTGAGAAGACGTGAAAAGTAGTTGAAATTATGTTCTAGATGGGCCTGATGATGGAAAATGTTTTGCATCTAAAAGATTGCAATACACAATTGTTCGTCTACTTTTTTTTTTTTAAATCTCGAATTAGGTTATTGCCAACCAAACTAGGCTCCTTCATTGTCATTCGTTAGTTGAAGGGCACTATACTTTCTTTTGGTGCAACAGATTTCTAGACAAGTTTCACTACTCAATTTCTGTTGTTTCTGTAATGTTATAAGTGCTAGGATTTTATTTGTTTTTGTTGCTAGTTGTCAACTGTTAGATGTTATCAATCAATCCATTCTTGTTATTTGTTTAAGCATGCCATGGTGGGATTTTTGTTGGGTATGTTGGTCATAATTTCTTCTAGACAGTTCACCATATTTTGCTTACTAATCGGAATTTCCTGATTTATTACCACAATAAATAGTCTCTGAATCCCAAAGAAGTTACTATGAAAGGGGAAAAGTGTAAGTATTTTTGAGCTAGAACTCAGGTTTGGTGAAGACAGTGAACCGTTCCAGGTAACTTCTAGCTGAATCTACATCCCTGTTCAAAAAATTTTCGCTTGAATAACTGAATCAATCACCCAGGAGAGTTGGTTCGTCCCTCTTCAAATTCTCATGGAAAACAGGTACAAACACTCGAGCAGGTCAAGTACTCATCTGCGTAAATTATATGTTGTAAGTTAAGTTTGAGAATCGAACTCTCTAAAACAAGTATAAGGTTATATCTCATTAATGTGAGAATGTGTTCCTGTCAAGTGTTAAATCTGTTGAGCTTGCAGACTCGGACAAAACGAGTGCAAGACTTCATGATACTGCTTCCGAATAGGGAAGCTGAAACAACTCTCAGGTTCACTCTACATTGCAGATTTACAAAGGTGTGAGGGTGGTTCTAGGTAGGTATAAGTGCCAGTATTTGGTTCTTGATGATTCCAATGCACTTCTGTATCTCTGTATAGACTGGAAGGTTCTTTGAGGAGTAAGGATGCAAACTTGTAACGGCAGAATTCAGTATCTGGGCAACATCAGCTGGTGGAAACTGTCGTTCTGAACACTTCTGCAATTTTTTCGGAAAAAATTACACTGAAAAAAAGAGGCAAAAATTTATTGTAATAGGGATCTACTGTCATGTATCAAAAAGATAAAAGAATAAACGGGAGGAGAAGAAGAAGAAGCATTTTTTACAACATGGAAATGAAAGAAAAAAGCATTTCTTACACCACTCTATACCCCTCCCTCCCCCGCCCAAAAAAAAAAACTAAAGTAATATATATATATATAGAGAGAGAGAGAGATGCATCCAAGAATTTACCTGAATCATGAACAAAGTAGCTACACATTTGAGATATAAGTTCTGAAGGGATTTGTTGTCCATATGACACAGATTCCTTCTCCAACTTAGGATTAGATGACTGCAATGAATTCAATGGGATGGAAATCGACTAATCATGAGAAGCCAAACCAACATGCACCGAGTCTGTGGCCAGCATGCAAAAATCATCCAATGGAAGTAGTCGATCATTCACATGATCTATAGCTGTCTCCATCTTCTCCACACCCTTCAGAGATGACATTCCCTGCAACAAGGAAGCACAAATAGGTTCCAATAAATATCATTGCACCAATGTCTGAGATTAAAGTTCAAGTGGTTAACATCATGAGTTATTTACTCACTAGTCCACCTACATTGGAATAACCCATTTACAGCCACATAATTTAAGGAATTGGGGGACAACTTTTTCTTTCTCTAGGTACTAAGGTGGTATGACTAATTTTGTAGTTCAAATCACCAACTTTCACAGCAGGTTATCTGATCAGCCACAGCACATGACCACAGCATAGTTTCTCTGTGTTAATCCAGACTTAACATCCAATTCTAATTGCCAAACTGCTTTATAATAAGGTGGGAATGCAAATACCCCAGTTTTATTTAGATAATATCCAGGCAATAAATTGTTATCGCAGGTCTTATCAAGTGCCCAACCTAATTAAATGGAATTTAGGCTTGTTGAGTCAACTCATAGGTCAAAAATTTCTTTAATACCTGCATAACTGCATCCACCATTGTTTGGGCTTTTGTTCTTGAGCTTTCAACAACTTCATTAACAGAAGATCCGGATGCTTGAGTGTGACTTGTAGAATGATCTAAGGAGCTCAAAAGGCCTCCGTGATCACCTAAATTTGCCATGGGCCTCGGCCTCGCTTGTGGAAAGTTTCCCTGATATGAGTTGCGCTGCCTCAAGCAATACAAAGCAGAAGAAACCTGCAAATGAAATCGATAAACAATTGCGAAGTGGTTGGAGAAAATATTGGAGATTGAAGGACAAGGGGTAGAACTAAATGATAATTCCTGCAAACACATGCCTGCTCATTGGCTGCATTTAACTGCACGAGTACAGCAGAATATTGCTTCTTGAAAGGCTCTGAATTACTGAGAGAGCAATCACCATCCTTGTCACTTTCTAAAACATCATCATTAATGTGCTTCAACTCAATAACCGCTGCTTCCTACAATTCCCAACATGGCATCAGATCACTGGTAAGCGTCCAGTTTAATATGAGACCCAAGTGTTCCTATGTGCAAATTCTAGTTCATACATTCACACATTCTGATGAGAAAACAAGTTCATATACTATACCACTAGAAGTCACTGCAACAAAGGTAGAACGTTTAAACCCCCACAAAAAACTCCAATAGCACAATGTAGTAATCAGTGAAAATAACGAGGAAACAACTTAGCAGCACTGGTAGTGGATAGAAAAGGTATCAATAACCAGAAACAACCAAAAGAAGAGGTTAAGGTGAAGAAAGTAATAAAGGAAAAAAGCAACAGCAGCGTAAAATAGTGCATAACACCATAGGGCATCAATCGGAGGAAAACATTGGAAACAGACAACGGAACTATGTGAAAGAAATTACCACCCAATCATTCTGAAGGACCGTCCATTTGAAATTTTCAATTATTCTTTAAGATAGTCCATGCCAGATCATTTTACTTGAAATGTAATTCTACTTCGATAGAAAAATAGAAGGGTATGAAAAGAGATTTGAGTCAGACTTTCTGCTTTCAATCAATTGTACATACAAAATCAATATGCAAGGGCTACAACCTTTTTGTTTAGAGGACGAGTCAATTCAGTAAGAGCTTGCACATCAGCTTCTTTCGCCTGGACCTCTGCCAGTGTATGGTGCTGAGAATGTAGTGTCTGCTGATTTATGGCAGTTTTCCTCAGTCCAGTATTAGCTTGTGAATTAGCATCCACTGAAGCCACCTGGAAAAAGGATGTGGGTGGAGATAAATAAGATGGCCAGTTTAATAGAAGGCATTGCCTTGCATTTTTCGTCTTTTCTCTGCAACTTGTAGAAAAATGGTCCAAATGCCCTCCTAAACAGATGGGATAATGCTTTATATGATAGAACGCAAGTCTTAAATGTGTTCTCTCAATTAGGAATGCACTAAATTTTCTGGCCATATAGATTACTCCAGATACAGAGTGTGCAAAAACAAAAATATTTGGAAGCAGTAATTTCCTTCTGAGAAATTTGTTGCCAGTTTTGCACTCAGTACGAGGAGTCTCACACAGCAACCTCAACAGACAGAAATGCGATATATCATATTATCACACAAATATGGACACATTAATAAGTCACGAGATGGGTGTCAGAATAGGCAAAGAAAGACACAAAGTAAATCTTTACTATCGTGATTTAACAGACGAATAAATGCCCCCACAGTTCCCAGTTTAAAATTTCCTTTTAGAAATATGCCTTATACAGTGCAAGTCCGCCCTAACCTCAATTAACTAAGTTTGATATGTATACAACAGATATTAGAAGTCAGGGAGACCTTTTCCTTAACACCCCCACCCCTTCCAAAAAGAAACCAAAATATAGGTATTAATATGTGTGTAAAGAAAGATTTGCTGACCTTTGTTTGCTTCAGTAAATTATCCATGGGATAACTTGACAGAGACTCATGAGAAGGACCACGAACGTTCTCGAGGGTATCACCAGGAGAAAATTTTATGTACCCTTCAAGCCTCTGATCTTTTTCCCTGCCATTTATTTTGAGCTGAGTGAAGTTCTCGAATAACTTATTGACAGCACTTGAGGACCTTGCTACTGATGCGGGTTTATTCTCTAAGCGTCTTAAGGGCATGCAATCAACATCCTGCATAAATTAAAGAATTTCACCATGCCAAAAAAGGGAAACAAGCAAGCAAAAAAGAAAAATGAGGAGGGGAAAAAATTCTTGTTTTTGCTGGGCCTGTTACGTTCCACTTTCTCAGAAAAATATAGACAATTGAATCCAAAGGTTACATTCTGCTGGTTTATATTCATATATATCTTTCGAGCATTAGTAATCAAAACTAGATATCATAACTAATAAAAATACCATGACAAATTCGACCCCTAGCTCAGGTGGTCGAACTGAACCCGGCACATGGAACGATCAACAGTTAGTACACTTCCATCATAAATCTCTCTTGTTCTTGGATGAATAGCTATAACACGTTGTCCAACTGACAAAGGCCTTGCCAGATCTGTTGGCAATCCTTCCCTGATACCAGAATGAAGTTCAGCATAATGTGTTCTAACAGAATTGCGGTATTGATTAAGCTTCTCTTTTTCTTCCTTCAAAAATTGTTCAGAAAACCTCCGTGGTTTACCAAGAGAACTGCATCAACAAAGGAGAGCAATATAAAGACTTCTGAAACATACAATCTATCAATCTTCAGGTGCATTGTTAGCCTAGCAAAGTACAAATTTCTGACATGAGCAGGGGAAGGCAAATACCTTCTTATGACACTCCATTCAACACGAGTTAATCTTGGAACATGACCCAATCCAACATGATACAAGTACTCCACAAACTTCTTTTTAGCAAACCAAGGATAATCAATGGCACTGTAGAACCACTCAAATGCACACCATCTCCGAACTCGATGATTTGAAAGGCAACTGGAAAAACTTTCCTGCATTTTAAGTACAAAAGAAAATATGTCAAAGCTAGAGAATACCATGGTCCATCAAAATCTAGAAACTGACAAAGACTAAACCTTGAGATTAAGTGCTTTGTCTTGGAGTGACGGAACGGGTCCATTAGGTTGGTCCTTCATAATGTTATGAGTGAACTTCAACTCTTTCAGTATCTTTGGTTTCTTTAAGTGCAAGTTAACCTGATTCGCCACAGGAAAATGTACAGTTGACAGAGCTGAATCACTTCTTTCCATTCTTGGATCAGTACTTGAAGAATGTTCGGGATGTTTGACCAATTTTCGTGAAGCACTTTAAGGAGATCGTCTACCCTTAGTCACTGACTTCTTCCCAGCATCTCTAATCTACAATAAATAGCCACATCATATTAAATTCATTAATTCCTGAACGGAAGACAGAAGTTACTCCAGGTCCTCACATCAGGAATAAAAGAAAAAAACAGAAAATAACAAATTTATAAGACAATAACACAGGACAGATTTAAGCAAAAAAAATAGCAAGCATTAAAAGCAAGCAACAAAAGGAACCTACTTGAATTCAATGCTAATTATGAGTCATATGACTATTATCAATATACACTAAATGAAACTTAAAATACCACAAAATAAACAACTAGGAAAAAGAGGACAGATATTAGTATCCACAGGATAAGGATCCCACTTGAATCCAGCGCTAGCATAATTCGAAACAACCAATAATTTAGTTATATCATGTTTAAAGATAATTGCAACTGTCAACCAGATGAAGTAAGTTGGCCAAAATAAAGTGTGAAAAAACCCATAAGGCAGTTCGAGTTGCAGAAGCTGCCAACCACACAAGGAAACCTAGATCGGTTTTCGCTGCCCAACTTGAGTCCCAATTGGTAAAACCAAGTTGGTTAGTCTGCATAGGGAGGGTTAGTAGAACTTCCTTTGTCGTATATTTATCATGAAGTCGGTAAATTAAATAAATATTGACCTTCTTTAATGTGACATGAGATTAATGGAGGGCAACTCACAGCTCAATCAAAAAATTCAACAGAAAATATAAAATAGGGCATCATACATTTATATACACCCAAGGGTTATAACTTATAACAGTTATATAGAAACTGGAAAACACCAGAAACCATCAGTCTCAAGGCCTTCAGTAGAATATTTTTTAGTAATTTTGAAACGGATGTAAATGAACCTGCACATGCATATGTACAGATGGAATGAAATGTGTAATTGTGCATTCTAGCTCAAAGCTTTGTTAAGCAGAGGTGCCTGAGTTTTAACCAAACCCAATCTCACTATGTGTCAAAAGTTCCTAGAAGCCAAGAACAAACGAAGTGTAAGAGATTTAAACAATCTTGCCTATTCCACAAGTTAGGAACAGGTCCAAACAGCCCAAGCAACCACCTAACAAGACACTACAATATGAAGGCACCAAAAAGCACCTAGGGTGACATAGTGAGAAAACTAGATCCAAACCAACGGTGGCATCATTAATACATTTCCAGCTTCACAGATATAACAACCTTTAAAAAGGAGCAACAATGGAAATCTATATTGCAGCTCTGATAATTTGTTTAATGTTTTGAGAATAACTCAACCACATAGTTAAATTTGATAGTAAATAGATTATGTCAACAAAGAAAGAAAGGAAAAGGCAATATAACAAAAATTCACAGCCTCTTGGTGCATCAACAAATGAGCATTGGAATCCAAACTTCAAATTTTTAGACAGTCTAGAACATATTGTGGCCATATAAGCAGTAGGATGTGAGAGGCTCCTATGTGCTCAGACCAAAAACAATTGAGCCACATAAAACATTCAAACGTAAATCTTTAATAAAATGGTTAGAACACAGGAAGCGAATCTACCTCCGCCTCCTGAGAGCCACTCAAACGGGTATCACTACGAGCTTCAGTTCTAGCAGTCTGCCAACAAAATGCTTTAGCATAAGTTCATCATGCGACAAATCAGAACAAAGCCCCACTGATATGAATAACAGGGATATACAAAGATAAAAATTCAAATGAAGTCATATCATGTTTTACTTTAGATGCCAAAATCTTCTGCTTTTCACTAAACAATTTTGTAACAGAATGATGTGGTTCCTCCTTTGCTTCAGGAATAGCACCAACAACGAGTGCTGAAACTTCTCCAGGTTTTGATTTTTGAGAGGTAGCAACTTCAAATCTGGATATTGATCGATCCCTTTCACTTTAACCCCTGAGGATTTACATTTGTCCCTTTGATGGATTGCTGGCATAGATTCCGCAACAAGGTCATCATTTTCTCTTTGGACCAGCACTGATGGCTCTAACACACAGGTAACAAAATATAAGAAAGATGTTAAATTTTATCATTGACTTGCAAATAAATATACAAAATATTCAAGTACTGACTAAAGAATCCAATAAGTGCAGAGAGCAAAAGAACCGTATACAGAATAAGACATTCTTAAACTTCTCTCAGTACTTGACCAACAAATTGCTATCAAGCAATTACTGTAAGCAGAGGGAGAACATGTAAACAAATGCCAAACTCCACAAATAGAGAATTGATGTTAAAAAAGATAAAAAAAGGAAAATATAAAAATTAACAAGAGAATTTAAAATGGAAAACATAAACACAATCTCAGAGTTTAACTTTCTCAATGGAAGAACTGAATATAATAAACTTAAGTGATGTTGCATCATTATTAGCTATCTCAAAATTTGGACAATGACGCTTTCCTGGTTTATGGTTAACCAAGTAAAAATACACTTTTATTGTTTGCAAATCAGAATTGAAAATATGGAGAAGCCATATGGCAAGAAAATAGAATGATAGATTAAGTAACATTGTACGTGATAAATAATTTCGGGTCACAATTTATGTTTGTTGTTTCATGCTCTCTACATCAATTGTGGCAAAATATGATCAAGCAAATTAGCCAGCACAAGTAACTTGTGGCAACTTCTACCAAGAAAATAAAAAAATGGTGAGGAAGAAGGGGGTGGGGTGGAAGAGAAGTAGAGCCATTTAATTAGGTTCAAAGTAAAAAATAGCTAACATAGAGACTGCATAATATAGGTTTTCGTCTTTGTTTTTGAGTTGAAAACGCAATCAACATCCTCGAAATGATTGTAGTTCTTACATGCTGTTTAAATAGGGATATCACCATAAAAGTTTGTCAGTAAAAATAAAAAACAGTTGACTAAACTCATAACTTTATATAGTTTCAGAATTTTAGCCAAGGCACTTGTCAATTTTTTTTAACACAACTAGTATAACAAGAGCTCTGAACCATACTCACCCTACCTCTGAAATTTAGAAAAGGAATTTCAGATATCATGAAAATCATCCCAGTTTTAACCGGAAATATGTTGCATTAGTGGTTAATCATATCGACTGGACATCAAAATTTATCAACAATGCCATTGAACCTTTCAAAAATATTCAATTAATAGCCCAAACAGAAGAACATTGCTAATTATCTTAAATAACCTAAAACCTAGTGATTTTATTATCCCCTAATGATCATCAGTTGCTTCAATTCCTAAGTCCTAGGTTTGTAGAATAATAAGGGCAGCCTCGTGACTTCCACCATGCAGAGATAAATAGATGGATGAAGAGGGGATGTGTGTGTAAGAGAGAGAGAGAGAGAGAGCAATGATGGATTTTGACTATTCACGAAGTCAATGACCCTTCACTAAAAGGTCTCAGAAAGTTCCCAGAAAAAAAAATGCAAAAAGAATAAGAAGCAGAAAACCTCAGAAGGAAAAGAGCTAAAACGCCCACATAATAGCATTCTCCTCATGCAAGAGACACTAATCAAATATTCCTAAAGTTGTCGTCGATTTCTTAAAAATAAAATCAATATAAGGAGTTGTTTTGTCAAAAAGACAACAAAAAGTATAAATATGGAGGCACTTGATAACCGATAAGAAGCATAAAGTAACCAAACACTGACAGAGAATGGAAAACAGCCTGATGGGAGACAGCAACGCAACTTGTCGGAAAACCAAACATGGAATGTATTCTTACTTGCCCTGAATTTCAATATTGCATGACAACATACCCTCCACCCCCCCCCCCCCCCCCCCCACCCAAAAAAAAAAAAAAAAAAAGAAAAGGCACAAAACCATTAACAGAGAATGAGTCACCTAATGTCTCTGATTTGCCACCCCTTTCTAATCATTTCGACAAAGTAAAAAGTAAAAATGAATAATTCTTACCATTTTCTTCTGTTGTTGATGGCATCCTTAGAGACAAATCAGCCAACGTCTGCAGTGCATCAAAGGTAGATCCCTCGTCTATACAAAAGAGAATTAAAGTCAAGCAAGTGGAAACTTGCAGTAAATGTCAACTCAATCTCCAAGAAAATGACAATTGCAAGGTGTGGCCATATATCACACAGGCCATGGATTGGAGCCCGACCATTTCAAATAGGTAGAAACACAGATTATATGCTATCTCATTTATAAAATGCTAAATAATCCTCCCTAAAACACTTAACGCTGTCTTAGAGAATTATGGAAATTATTTAGACCGAAGAAGTTAAACAAGGACTAAATATCCTGGTATACCATAAACAGTCTTGTGTTCCATGGTTTCAGTTGCTGAAGTTTTACGTTTTCATTGTACACTCTCTCTTTCTCCCCTCACACTCAACACGCTCAATCTCATGTTTTCTTTCCGACATTGACTTTCATAGTATTAAAAAAACTGACAGAAGCAAAAAGCTTTCAAGCAAATGGAGAGAAGAGGAGGCCAGTGTGATCCTGAAGGAATATAAACTTTTCAAAATCAACTTACTTTCTCTGTTTATGAAACATAAGAGAGTATCAGTTTTCTGTCTCGATGACAGAACTCAAAAGCAGCTGAGATAATAGATTTATGTCCGAGCTTTGTTTAGTTTAGTTTAGTTGAGTTGAAATAAACAGTTATGCCTAAAAATAAGGTAACAGAGCTCCACCAGTGATTTCCAGAAATAGGAAAATGAATACAATTCAATAAAAAGGAAAAGTATGAAAAATAAATAATAAAACAAGTTCATGGAACTTGAACAAAAAAAAAAAACCGTACCTCCCTCGAAAAGAACCTTTTTGCTCCTCTTTCTCAGACCCTGTGACGAAAACCTCGATATTTTTGCATCTGTGACCTCCATGACAAATTTCCCCATAACTTTGCCCAATTTTTGTCCTTCTGTCCCGCTACAGGCTTCTTTAAAGTCATCCAAATGATTGGTGCAATCGTCATCAACTTCAAGTTTCTTTCCGTA